CAACAACGATTATGTTGCTGAAAAGTGGAAAACCACTATCCCCTCTACTTTTACCAACATAAGCCATGTTGCTGAAAAAAGGGTTTTAGCAACATGGCTTTTGTTGTTGAAAATGTCATGCTGAAAATTTCCCAAAATTTCGGTACCGGAAATGGATAGATTTTTGGCAATTTTTACCAACATAAGCCACGTTGCTGAAGATAGGTTTTAGCAACGTGGCTTTTGTTGCTGAAAATGCCACAAAATTCTGGTGCCGGAAAATGGATAGATTTTTTGTAATTTTTACCAACATGAGCCACGTTGCTGAAACTCTATCTTCAGCAACGTGGCCTATGTTGCTGAAGGGGGTGAGACAATTCACCCCCAACTTCCACCGGATTCTGGCCACCTGTTTCAGCAACATGAGCTAGGTTGCTGATACTATATTTTCAACAACATAGATCATGTTGCTGATGTATCAGCAACAAGAGTTTGGTTGGTAATGTATTACCCACCAAGCCATCTCCAACAAAGCTTTTAACAAGCAAATCCATGTTGCTGAAGGGCTTTCAGCAACATGGGAACCACTTTCAGCAACATGTTTCCATGTTGCTGAAGCTAAGCATTTTAGTAGTGTATTGGAGATTAAAATATAAAGGAACAATTCCAATTTTTAAGAGTAAAGACCACAGCTCCTTTTCACCATCCTTTACTCAATTATTTATATTCAATCGTTTTGTGATCATAAGTTCTATTTTATCTCTTTTATTTACAATTGTGAGATAAGGGTTTAGGGTATTTGTTAGAATTAGAAAAACCATTGTTGTCATATCGGTTTAGGTTTATGAGAAAGGGTTGGATTGTCGAAGGTGGATAATGCTAACAAAGCTATTGCAATGGTTTGGTCTACACCTAAAAGTTGAAGAGGGTTTGAATCCAAAGCAAACTTTCAAGTAAGTGGCTTGAGAAATGAACTAAGCACAAATTATGACCGAACTACTATAAATCCCGATGTTTGAGCTCTCTTCCATTAACTTTTAGTTTTTGTAATTTGTTTAGTTGAAATTCAATTTTTTGTGGATTACTTGTGAGTATTTATTGTTTAGATTTGAAAAATTGCATAAGTTTTTCAAAAACTCAATTCATCCCCTCTTTGGTTACCACTGATCACACACTTGTAGTGTCCTTCCCCAACCATTCACAACATCTAAACCTAGAATCTTGCAAAGCCTTTGATTACCAACCCATCTATAATAAAACAATGAGACTTGCTTGTCATCTTTTAATTACATAACAATGTTAAGGCTTTATATGTTCTCTAAGTTTAACTAATGTCTTCCAATACTAGGAACTATTTGATGCCATAGCTATGCTTGAACAAACACTCTTTTAATAAACAAAGTCCATGCACTTCAACCACAAAGAATTTTTTTTTTTTTACTTAGTTCCCACTAAAGTTTGCCTATTATAGCATGTTCCAAACTCATACAGCTAGACCCCTTTCCATTTGGAGGTAAACACATGTCACCTTAAACTACTAAGGTGATGGAAAAATTATCCCAAGTGCCCTTCTATATCCAATTCCTACAATAAGCATCAACTTTATTCAAAAGTTTCCTTATAGCATGAAGACACTACTTTAATAAACCTTTCAGTGGAATATTGTAGAAATTACTAATTGTATCCTTCCATGAAAAGAGAGGTATTTAGATGCTCTTCTCACAAATTGTTCAACAATGTTCCACAAAAAGTATACTAGCACTAAGGAGCACATTCAAGTACTAGGGAACCTTCCCTTTGAGAATCCTAGCTTTAACAAAATTGTTTATTTCAACCCATCTAATATTACAATTATAAACACATGACTTTTCTTTGTATTGATTTGCAATTCAAATGATATAGAGAATAAGTCAATTTTTGATTTTGTACACACAATGGAGTTACATACATAACACCATTTGCAAAGTTCAAATGGGTTAGTATTAGTTGTTTACATTTAGGGTTGGTATGTAAATCCTTCTTGAGCATCAAAACATCCCATCAACCTGCTAAAATATTCTATACCCATGATAGAAAGATAGATAGGATCCCCTTGTTTTAGTCCTTTTACCATTGAAATATTCAATGGACTCCAAGAAAACTTAGCACCAACCACAAGCACCATAATTTTGTCAACAAAAACTATAAGGAACACCAATTTGTGTAACACATGTTCTAAGAACTTCCACAAGATTGAGTCATATACTTTTTGCACATCAAGCTTCATTATAAAACTAGTAGATCTCCAATCTTTACTATGCCCTTTCACAATATCTTGAAAAATTAAAATATTTGATTATATAGCTTTACCTACCTTAAAAGCACCTAGCTTAAGGCACACAATATCTCCAATCACACCTTTGCCTTGTAGTTAGAAGCTTTGTGATGATTTTATAAACAATATTACAAAGCAATCAATCTAAACTCACTAATAACATTTAGATTACGTAATTTAGATAAAAGAGTGATGTTTGTAGAGTTTACCTTCTAGAGTAATTTACCATCCCTAAAAAATTCTTTACTAGTGTCACCATGTCCTTCTCAACAATGGATTGGGTAACTTTATAGAAACCAAAAGAAAAGCCATATGCTCTTGAAGACTTAGTGTTTAAAATACAGAAAACTACCTTTTTCATCTATTATTTAGTCACTCCCAAAGTCAAAAGGCTTTTTTACCACTTAGATAATACTAGTCCATTTTAAATATGTTCCTTGTCAATGTTTAATAGCTCATCAAAAGGTTCCCCAAGTAATTTATGGTACCTAAGCTATTATGAATGCCATTGATTCTACTCTTAGTATGCTTAGCCTTGACAAAAGCATGCAAAAAATGTTGTGTTATGGTAACAATATTGTTAATGGAATTTAGGTTATTATTGGGCAAGGCTAGCATGTGCTATAATCAGATTTTGATATATTTCTCTTACATTGCTTTCCTTATAAACTTAACATATCAAAAGGTTGCTAGGATAATGATAATTGAAGTTCCTCTTATAACTTGATCATTTAGTCCTTTACATTTCTCCTTGTGCAATCTTTTAAGCTTTTGCGTTATCTTCAACTTTTGAGTAAATATAAACACAATGGTGCCTACAATGTCCATTCTTTAAACCTACTCCACAATTGAGAGAAATGAAGGATTTTTAATTCATAAATTAGAAAATTTAAACATTTCACTAATGAAAATAATTTTCATGAGACGCACCACTTATAGAAAGTGATTAAAACTAGTTTGGAGTCAAAATTCAACCTATAAGTAAGTAAATTTCAAAATCCATTAATCATTTACAAGAACTCTATCCAATTTACAATACAACCTACTAGTATCATCGTGCTAGTTACACCATGTTAGATGTTGGTCAACAAATTTCAAGTTCTTAACCTTAGTAGCTTCCCAAAATTATTATAGTTCAAGTGTATCTCCTTTAGCAATCTATCTGTTCCTTACACGTTCATCATCATCAACATTGTATTAAAATCACTAGCTAGTAATTATTAACAAATCCATCCATAAAGGATCCCTAGGTTTCAACTCATTCAAGGTATAAATAAAGGTCACAAAGAAAATAGTCACCATTTGATGTTGTAACTTCATAATGAATGCATTGATTAGTCATGCCCATAACTTGAATCGACACTACTACCATTGGATACAACCCAAATTCTACCATTTTGGCATACTAATAATTATATACTACATTTAGACTACAATAGCACTTAGATGAAACTTTAGCATACTTATTTGATTTTACTCTAGTCACCAAGACATCCATCAAGGAGACTTTTTTTTTTTTTATCAATAAAAACATTATTATTTTGAGTTTACTCAAACCCATTAAAGAGACATTATTTCTAGCTATAAATCTTTTTATGTCTATTGGTCTAGTATAATCATTTAGACCTCTAAC